TTGACTTATTATTATGTTATGCTCAGTGCCCCCTGAGACATTGCATAAGGGCGTGTGAGACGTAAGGACTGAGCCATTCCAGTGCCCCGTGAGCCACTGCTTTAAGGCGTGGGAGATGACCAGGACTGGAATGTTATGATTATTAATGATAATGAGCTCAATTTCGGTGCCTAGCAGTGAGGTCAAAGGGCCCAAGAAAGAAAAGTTTTCAAAAAGAAATGTTTTCACAACATGAATCATATACAAGCATTTGCATTTCATGTTGTAACACATATCAGTTGACGATGTTATTTCTTGACATGCATGACTTTTACTTATTGAGCCGTAGCTCATGTAGTTTATGCATTGTAGGTGAGCATGTCGATATCTAATGATCAATGTTAAGGCTTGACCGTGCTGTTGGATCCAGAAAGTTTTGAGGACGTGTACATGGATGACGACCTGTTGGGCTAGTAAAGGGCCATCCGTCCTTTTGAAGTTTGGGTTCATTTTTGGAAGCCGCTCTTGGAATTCAATTCTCCGTTAGAATTTTAAATTATGTAAAATACGCAAACTGTTTTTTGTTTCTGGGTCCTTTTGACATGTACAAATGACATTATCCGCATTGTTTTGACACTCTTTTGACATGTATAAATAATATTATCTGCGTCGTTTTGACAAATAAATCTGAATTTTAAAAAAAAATATTTTGAGAAAAACATGACTCGTATTTCAAAATAAAAGAACATTTAGTAATAGAAGAGCGGGCGTGACACACCAGATGCCAGAGTCCTTCACAGCGACCTCTATTGTTTTGATACCCTAAAGACCTGGCCCGAGCTCTTGGCCCGATTATAGACCTATCAGCCTCTGTAATGTGACCAACAAGCTCATCTTTAAGATCCTTAACGGTCGTCTAGCCCCTCTTCTCCCTTCCCTCGTCTCCTCGAACCAAAGTGGTTTCATCAAGGATCGAGATATCAGTTATAACATCATTTTGGCCCAAGAGATGATCCATGACATCTCCCAGGCGAATCGGTCACGAGCCTCGAACCTTGTGCCGAAGCTAGATATGGCTAAGGCATATGATAGGGTCGAGTGGCCCTTTCTCAAGGAGGTTCTGTTTCGCATTAGCTTCCTTGAGCGTTGGATTAGTTTTGTGGAGGCGTGCGTGGAACACTGCACGTTCTCGTTCTTGTTAACGGTAGCCCCACTGATTCTTTCCCTTCCACCTGTGGTCTTCGGCAGGGGAACCCCCTATCCCCCTCCCTTTTTTTCCTGGCTACGGACTACCTGTCTAGTTGCCTTGACGACTTCATTCGCGATTTTTGGAGGATGACCTACAACACACGTGGCTATGGTCCCCCCATCTCTCACTTATCTTATGCGGATGACATTATTATCTTCACTCGTGCAGATAATGATGGACTGACTGAGCTCATGCGTCTCCTGGGCACTGCAGTTCGGTTTCTGGTCAGCTTGTTAGTGTGCAAACGATCACTTTCACCCTGGATCATCACATTGCGGACCAGTGGTCCCACTGGATCCATGAGCGCACTGGTTTTGCGCGTGGAGACCTCCCCAGCACCTACCTTGGTGCTCCTCTGTATAAGGGTCACCTCTCGCATAATCTCTTTATTGACGTGAGACAGAGGATGATTGACCGGATCTACGGTTGGTCTCACAGATACCTATCCTTTAGGCGGAGGCTTGCTCTGATCAAGAGCACCCTCAACGCCCTTCCGCTTCAACTTCTCACGGTCCTCAACCCCCATTAGTCTACGATTCACGAGCTAAATCAGATCATGGCTCGATATTTTTGGGGGCATGGGGAGGGCTCCCTGAGAGGGAGACAAGTCCACTGGGTGAAGTGGGACTCTGTCTGTCTCCCTTTCTTTGAGAAGGGATCTCGGGATCCGGTGCTTTTCAGACGTTGTCACTGCATTATCTTATAAGATGTGGTGGCGCTTTAGGGAGGGTAAGACACTTTGGGCCCAGTATCTTCGTCGGAAGTACTTTCCTGGAGGCGCTGCCCACCCCTGTAGGGTGACGGCCACCGCCCGCGATAGCAGGCAGTGGAGGCGGCTCATCATGGTTGGTAGATGTGCTCAGAAGCACATTTTCTGGACTCTGGGTGAGGGGGACATTAGTTTCTGGGATGAGTGGTGGTTTGGAAAAGGTCCCCTTTCGAGTACTAGACGGATCACCCACCTTCCCTTTCTGCAGGTGAAGGACCTATGAACGGATGAGGGATGGGATAGGGATAGGTTAGGGAAGATTCTGGGTACAGGAGCAGACTTTAGTGACCAAATGATAGATCAGATCCAGCAGATACCCATCTCGGAGGACAGTTTCGACGGTATGAGGTGGAGACTTACATCTTCGGGTGCATTCTCTACGACCTCGGCTTGGGGGAAAGTACGGCTGGGTAACCGGCCTAACCTTTTCTTCGGGGCCATCTGGACCGGCCTACTTACCCCGCCATCTCTGTTTTCCTTTGGCGTCTTCTTTTGCACCGCTACCGATTGATATTGTGATGCAGGCGATGGGGTTCTCCTTCCCTTTACGTTGCTACTGTTGTGCTGAGACCAGCGTTTTTCAGACTGAGACCTTTAGCCATTTGTTTCTTGAGAGCGAGATTGTGAGGAGAGTGTGAGAGCATTATACCAATTTCACTCATATATTCCTACCCTCCATAGATAATTTCTTTGAGCTTGTGAGTTTTTTTAGACACAACACACACGTGGGCTTCCTTATTCCTTGTCTGATCCTTTGGGCCACCTGGACATAAAAGAATAATGTGAAGCATAGGTATAACTCTTTTTTGTGTTCCCATATTATTTTGCAGGTTGACCGACGTATCTCTCTCCTTACTACTTTGGGTAAACTCACCCAGAGAGACTGGACAGGTTGCAAGTCTCCTCACCGCCTTGCACTACCTCCACTGCCGCCTGTCCAGCATCCACGCCCCAGAGCTGTTGTTTGGCTGAGACCCGAGCTTCCTTGGGTTAAGCTAAACACTGATGGATCCTTTGACCGACTTACCGGAGTTTCCGGAGGTGGGGGTCTTATTAGGGACCATAGCGGTGCTCTTATATATATTACCGCTTTTCATGGCCCTTTTCGGGCCTCCTCGAGCTACGATGCTGAGATTCATGCGCTTCAGATCGTTCTTCAGATTGCTACCTCAATCTCCTCTCACATTTGGATAGAGTTGGACGTTGCCACTGTCATCACTCTTTTTACCATTGGATCAGGGCAGATGGTAGATTCAACATCCACTTATGCGTATTAGGGTTACACTTCGGGCGATTCGCTTTCAGATCTCGCACATCTTCCGTGAGGGGGATCGCCCACTTCCTCGTAGACATCGGATCCTCCATTCCCTAGAGGCGCATACTTACCCTGACGATATTTCTCTTCGCCTCCGCACCCTTATACGGATGGACCAGTTGGGATATCCTTCATTCAGATTTGTGTAGCCGGCCCTACCTATTGGTGCACCCGGCCTCTCAAGACACTGACTTTTTTGCCTGGACTCTTCTCGGACTAGGAGACGTTATCGTTGTGTTACTGGCAGTTATTTCCAGCTTCTTCTATTTGTCTTTTTCATTACTGGTTTTTATTTTCGTTTGACTTGTTATATTTCAGATATTGGACTGTAGATCTGTGACTTTCCAGTCCACTTAGAGCCTTTATATATAAAAGTTGCGGGTCTGGCCTAACCCCCCACCCTTATGGGTGGTTTCCTAAAAAAAAAAAAAGATAGACGAAAGTGGAGGTGTGATTCGCCGGAAAGTCGTTGTAAGATTAAAAGCACGAGAGAAGAGTCGTTTGCAAAAAATAGCTTGAAGGTTGTAGGAAATGGGAGAAAGGGGTTTTCAGCAGCAAATGAGATTTTTTATAAGTTAAAAATAGTGAACGGTCAATTGGCCAATTGAATCCGACCATTAAAAAGCACAAGAATCAAGGGCCTGGATTTGTGGGCCACAAATCGACAAGATGGGAGCACATGGAAAATCAACGTGTCGCAAGGGTAACGACCATGATCCAAGCAGACGAGACATTTTTTAACGTCTCACATTCCCCAAAGATTGTTGACAACGCATTCAATGTGGGGAAGTGACGTGTTAAAGGGACAACAATTGCAGACATTTCAACACAAGTCCCCACAACTCGTTTTGAAAATGGGGGGCTAGATGTTATATATAACACTCAGAATAGCTCGGTAAATCGACCCGAATGGTCAGCTCGAGTAGGGTCGGTTCAACTGAGCTCATGCTCGACATCAACGTTTGACCTAGTCAGTGGGCTCGCTTAGGCAGCTCAGGGTACAGGTCGACCTGATAAGCAGGCCTGGAGGTCAAGCTACTCCGAGAGCTCGGATGCAAGAAGGGACCTCACGACCCGGAGGTTGCAAGAATGGAGGTTGTTGTTGCAACCTAGATTTCGCTTATGGTAGGTAGGAAGCGAGGTCACTCAAACGACCTAGGGATCTAAAGGTCGTATGATAAAAAGGATTAGGATCCTTTAAAGATGAAAAATGTATCTCGATAAAGAGTTTCCGATCTCAGAGACGTGATAAGCTATGAAAGTAGATACGGATAAATGTCATTTCTAGTTAGAACACTCTTGAGCATTCAAGATACCACCTAATAAATAAGGGTGACCAAACTCTATGTTTTCTCCCATTTATTCTAAAAAGTATTGACTTGAGGTTTTTCATCGAGACCCCTAACATATTAGGGTCATCAGAGCTCAAGATCAACATCCGTTGGTGGTGTTTTCGTGTTTTCGATTTAACCCGATTCAATACAAACCAAATTTACGGAAAAGAGAGTGTCTGGGTATCAAGCTCAAGAACATTAGCCATTAATGTACGGATAAGATACGACGGTTACCACTGACGTAACCTAACAGCCTACAGCCTGCACCCAACAGCCATGCATTAATTGTTACTTCATTTTTTATTTTATTTTTTTATTTCAAGCGATAAAATTATTACTGCCAGCTTGGAACATGGGAATTGCAATCTGGTCCCCGTTCGTATGTACCATCTTACTTTCTCCAACCGACATAGATTCTATGTGTATACCACGCGCATCAACTTCTTTCCCCCAACTTCATAACTTTGTTGTTCTGTATGATAACTACAACCATTTCTCTATCGGCTATCATTTCTAGGAAGCTTCGGAAAATATAATAAATAATCTTGAAATATTATTATTTCTCAACTTGTGGTGGTTTAAAAGCTGACGCTCTAAAACACTGTCGGTTTTGCTGAATTTGGATTCATTTGTCTTAAGGGCCCCTTTTTAAAGATCTTGAGGTTTTGATCGTTAGTGCTCAATCATTTAGCTTGAAGCTTCAACCTTGTAAGAAACTCGAGTGCACCCTTTTTTCAAGCTTATCCTTAAACTTGCACAGATTTGTGTTCAGCTTTTTTGGTTCTTTCAAGATTCTGTTCAGGTATATATAAAGTTGAATGAAGTGTGTGCGGAAAGCTGAGAGGGTTCTTGTGGATCTTTTAGAAGTTCTTTTCGTTTGGTTTTTGTTGTCTTCAAGTTCTTGGTAATCTTTATCCGTAGAAAGGCTGATGCTAATTCTGGGATTCGAGATTTTTTACTTTACTGCTTTTGATTATATTAAATCTGGGATCTTTCTACTAATTTGGATATGTCTAGTTTTTAAGTCGCTTATTTAATTTTTCTTGGTATATTCCTTTACTCTTTAATTTGGTATGATGAGAGAAAGTTATTTGTGAATTAGTTGTCATTGCTTTGACTCACGCGCAGGCACCAAGTCATTTTCTTAATTGAATGTCAGAATTAATATAATTTTCCTCGGGGCTATTGATAGTGTGGATTTCCTCATCCCCTTCCCATTCTCATTTTCTGTTTTGTGCTGTTTTATTGTATAATTTTTCTTCCTAGTGAATTCTTGTTATTTGGTCCATTTATTACTTCTTGTTGTTGATCACTTTTGATAGACACTGAAATATAAAACAAGTCTTATCTTATCAACCTCAACCTGTACAGAAGGAAATTAAAAAAAAAAAAAAATCCAATAAATCTTGCTGGACTTCAGACCTTTAGCTTTTAATGACAACGTATATATATCCGTGTGTATGTGTATAGCAATTGCAATGTTTTACAATTTGATCACAATTTTAGACAGTCTATTTAGAGAGATGGATCACTTTGATATGAGTACTTATAAAAGTCACTTGAATATGTTGCAAAATTTTTAACGTGGCAAAGTGTTTCAAGGTTCAAACAATTGTAATCTGCTTCTTCTGCAGGAAAGCGACACTAAAGTTTGCAATTGCCAAGTGTGAGAAGAAGTTATGATGATTAAACACAGGATGAATCATCCAAAAATTAAGCGCAAAATTGGCAAGTATGAGATGGGGCGGACAATTGGCGAGGGCACGTTTGCGAAAGTAAAGTTTGCTAGAAATTCTGAGAATGGACATCCTGTGGCTATCAAGATTCTTGACAAGGACAAGGTCCTTAAACATAAAATGGCAGAACAGGTTAATCTTGCTATTTTTTTTTTTTTTTTTTTAATTTTTAACCTTCATGGCCTTTAAGTTATAAGTCTGTGGGATGGATCAACTTGTTCTGTGTGAATGACTTTGAAGAGGGCCTAAACATAAATATTGGCTATGTTTTGTTGGCTGAAAATGACTGCTTACAATCTGGACTTCAGCATTTATGTTCTTGTCTTGTTATGATTTTGCAGATTAGAAGGGAGATAGCCACGATGAAGTTGATAAAACATCCCAATGTTATACAATTACACGAGGTCTCTCTCTCTCTCTCTCTCTCTTCCCCTAATGTTTGGATACCTAAAAATCTTGTCTTTCTTTAGGTTATGGCAAGCAAGACCAAGATATTCATTGTTTTGGAGTTTGTCACTGGGGGAGAGCTTTTTGATAAAATTGTAAGATGCCTTTTTATTTTCTTTCTCCTTCTCTTTTGTAAAATCACGATCCCAATATGTCCATGGTGATTTCAAAAAGTAAAAGCACTGCTATAGTTTTAATTTTTGTTAGCCTTATTTTGTGTAATCTCCATTTTAGCTATTAATTTTATCGGCACAATCATTTGTCTGAAATGAGAATGCTCGTCTGTGAAGGTAAACAATGGACGAATGCGAGAAGACGAAGCAAGAAAGTATTTTCAGCAACTTATTAATGCTGTTGATTACTGTCATAGCAGGGGAGTCTTCCACAGGGACCTAAAGGTAATTGATTTGGCTTTTATTGTAGTCATTTTAGTTTCAGAAGCTAATTCTACTTATTATGAATTTTTTTTTTTTCATTTTTTTTTAAATGAGCACAGCCTGAAAATTTACTACTGGATGCTGCTGGAAATCTCAAAATTTCTGATTTTGGATTAAGTGCTCTCTCCCAGCAAGTCAGGGTAAATATCATAATCTACCTTGTCTACTAAATACATGCTTTCAGTTAATCTCCATTTGCTTTGATTGCGTAATACTACACAAAATTCACGACTTACAAAATTATATTTTATGAATTAATTTGGCAGGATGATGGTCTGTTGCATACTGCCTGCGGCACACCAAATTATGTTGCACCGGAGGTAAATAGTTTACGTGTTGATTATTGTTATTTTACTGCAGTAATTTTTCCTTTTCTTGATTTTACTTTTCATTTTAACGATTTTGTTGATTATAAATTTTAAAATGTGCTTAGGTCCTTAACGATGGAGGCTATGATGGAGCGCCTGCAGACCTATGGTCTTGTGGGGTCGTACTCTTTGTATTGCTCGCAGGTTACTTGCCTTTTGATGATTCTAATCTTGTGAACTTGTATAAAAAAGTGAGCATCTTGGAAATTTACAAGTTAATAAATTTTACTTTTAACTTGATATTTGAGCTAATTGTTTTTCTGTGTGAACCGCCTTAGATATCTTCTGCTGAATTCACTTGTCCTCCTTGGCTTCCTTTTGGAGCTATGAAGTTGATCACCCGAATCCTCGAACCAAATCCCCTTAAAGTAAGAATATGTTTCCATTCGATTTTTTGTAGTGTATAGTAACTTGCACAACAGTTGTATTTCAAACTATGAATCGCCTGCTCAAATTTGCTTTTGGTTGGCCTTACTTGATAGTTTGAGGGGTATATGGGGATTTCTTGTAAATATTCTATTTTTATACAGCCTCTTTGTTAACTTTAGTATATTTTCTGCTTTTTTTGCAGCGCATCACTGTAGCTGAGATTTTGGCAGATGAGTGGTTTAAGAAAGATTACAAACCACCAAGGTTTAATGAAAAAGAAGATACAAATTTGGATGACGTGGAAGCTGTGTTTAAAGACTCTGAGGTGAATATATTGCGTATATGCATGGACTAATTAATTGCTAGATTTTGCCTTATAAGCTGTTTTTTGGTTAACGAAATGTCTCGTATAACTCTTCACGACAGGAATATCATGTGAAGGAGAAAAAGGAGGAACAGCCGACTGCAATGAACGCCTTTGAGTTGATTTCCATGTCAAAAGGCCTCAATCTTGAGAATCTATTTGATGCAGAACAGGTATGGGATCAATTTTTTTTTTTTTCTTTTTATTTCTGCCACACACATTTTCTATGAATAAATAAATCATCTCATGAGCAAAATACATTTTAGATATTTAGCTGTTTCCATCAGTTGATTGCAATTTGAAATTCTGTAAATGTGCAAAGGTGTGTTTTGGCCTTATTTTTTAGTCATTTTTTAATGTGGAAAAAAAATATGGTGACAGGGGTTCAAGAAGGAAACAAGGTTCACGTCTAGATGCTCAGCCAATGAGATCATCACTAAAATTGAACAAGCTGCAAAGCCGCTAGGTTTTGGTGTTCAGAAAAATAACTACAAGGTAATTACTATTTTTCTGCATTTTTTTTGTTCTTTATATTTTTAATTGCTTTCAGTATAGAAATGAATACATGTAGTGACAAGAGTTGGCTTGTCGGACCATTTTAAAGCTCTCTTTCTGTCCTTTTTATCTACTTTTTCTAGATGAGACTTGAGAATCTAAAAGCAGGAAGGAAAGGCAATCTTAATGTTGCTACTGAGGTATGTTGTAAGCTTGTTGATTATCTTCGAACCAAATAATTTAAGTTTTTGATGTATCAATGTGTACTAAAATCAGGTTTTCCAAGTTTGCCCTTCTTTGCATATGGTGGAGGTTAGAAAAGATAAGGGGGACACTTTGGAGTTCAACAAGGTACACTTCTCTACAGAGGTTCATTACAAAAATTAACACTTCAATTTGGTGTTAGCCTAAAGCACATTTTACTTTCATGAAGAGTAAATAAAATTTGTCTATACATATAAACATTAAATGGTCACTTGTAATAATTGAATCACACTTTTTCACGATTCACTTAAAACTTGTATTATTTTTTATTTTTTTTTTCTGGCATTTTGTTTGAGGTGCAGTTCTATAAGAAGCTGTCGAGCAGTCTTGAGGATGTAGTTTGGAAAACCGAAGAGGAGATGCAATAAGTGATGTAGAGATGCAGTTAGCTCGTCTGCCATTCTTTTGTTTGTTAGTTTCCGGTTCGATTTTTCGTCATGTAGAGATGAGGGAAAATGTTGTTATGTTGTAAGCCATTTTTTCTTCCGGTTGTTTCTTGGTATGAGAATTGGAGGGCTTTAGGCAGTTAGTTTTCTCGTGAGCTGTGGTTTTGATCATTTCCTGCAAGAGACATGAATGAATAAAATCTCCTTAGTTTTGAATGAATGAGAAGTTTTCAAATTAAAATCTCCTTAAGTTATTTGGCAAGCACTTCTATTTTATTTTATTTTATTTTATTTTAGCTTTGCTAAATAAATAAAGGAAGAGAAAAAAAAAAAATGCTGCATGTGGTGTTGGACTGCTCGTGATTCTGCTATTTATTATTAGAATGAGAGTACATCAATTTCTTATTTTCAAATACATGTGATTACTTGATCATTTTTAAATCCACTCACATTTCCAATATTTTGCAGCTATTTGCTAATACAGTCAACTTCTTATTTTCAAATACGTAACAGTTGGAAGTGTTTGCAACCATTTCTTAGCATATTGGTTATTAATACTATTATTGTTACCTATTTTATTCCATGATATTGATTATCATCATATATTTAACTTTTATTCAATTCTCACCAATATTTCCTTTTTTTTAAAAAAAAAATAAAATAAAATAATCTAGCTGACTATACTGCTACTTTATCAAACTCAAAATAGGATGTTATGACTTAGGTTGTGTTAGGTAAACATATAAGCTAACTAATAGCTTGTAAGCTTCTTGTATTCAAATAAATTTGGTTTAATAGGACAAACTTCTGTAAAAAGCTCAAACTTATCTTTTAAGCTTCTTTAGGTAGTTTTTCAAATAAGTCTATTGAATTTCTATTTCAGCTAGCTTATCAGTTAAATTTACCAAACACTTTTATCATATAAGTCATAAGTCAGTTATAAGCTCGAAATTCACTTATCAGCTAGGTTTACCAAACATAGTCTTAATCCTAATTCCATAACTTCCCAATAATTGATGTCATGAAACAAGAACACCACCTCCCACCACATATACACAAAACCATTAAATGGCCTCAAAATTGACAAGAAACCTTAATGTGACCTATGAGTGCTCAAAGTCCTAATACGATGCTCGAGCTTGGCCTGTGGCGAACTCTGCACGGCTTGCTGCATTTCAAGTTGGGCCAAAACCTCAACCATTGTGGGCCTGTTTTTTGGGTCCATATGCAGGCAGCGTAAGGCAAGCAAAGATGCTGCCTGGGCACCCCTTTTAGAATACTCCCCCCTTAGCCTCGTGTCCATTATCCTCGAGAACTGCTTTCCTTCACCTAGAAATTGTAGGGCCCACTCAACAAGAGTTGCCGTGGGCCCACCAATCGTCTCGTCCCCCATGGCCCGTCTTCCAGAAAGAAGTTCCAATAAGACCACACCAAAGCTGTACACGTCATTCTTTGAAGTCAAGTGACCTGCATTTTTTTGGAAATTTTAATGAAATTGGAAAAAGCGCATAAATTTGACTTTCCTGGAGTTTTTGTCAAAGAAATATTGATTTTTTTTTTTTTTTTTTTTNTTTTTTTTTTTTTTTTTTTTCAGGTTTTTAATGAAAATGGAAATGGTTCATGGTGTTCTTTAGGAACATATTTGTCAAGCACTCTCTTGACTTAACACTATTTGAATCTGATTCCTAATAGTTAATAAGAGACAGATTTGTCAACTTACAGATGGAAAGAGATCAATTTTCCACCTGCAGCTAAGAATTGTGTGTGTACTTTAATCCTAATTTTCTCAACACATGCTTTCAACTTGTACACCAAAAATATTGAGACTCCATTTATATGCTATTGACTTCTACAGCAATAATTCCTTTAGATTTGTAGAACAAGAAAGATGAAAACCTGAAGATACATATTCTGGTGCAGCATAACCCATTGTGCCAACCACTCTAGTCGAAACATGTGTCCCATCCCCAATCGGCCCTTTCCTTGCAAGCCCAAAATCCGCAAGCTTCGCGTGAAACTTCTGCATAGTTCAATATGAGAAATAAAAAATAA